CATAAGCTCCACCTCCTCTGTCATCTCCATCCTGGTCACGGGTGACATTGTGTGACCTGTGTGTGAGTTTCTGGTTGTCACAGAGCAGTGTCGTCCTTACAAACCCCTTTAGTCTCTGTTTCTTCGGTTCTCCGTTTCACTCCCAAGTGTCTCAACTAACATGTGGTTTATTGGAAGGTGGGGTCCTTGAACCCGGGGTGCTAGATACCATACCAGCTAGCCACTGAAAAGGCTGTAATCTGCAATGCTCAAGATTCTTATGAGTTGGAAAAAACTTTCCACATCTGATGTGTTTATCTAATTATTCTTTATCAATTAAAAAAAAACAGGGAGTGACATATTGAGGTAAGAACCTGTATGATCAGAGAAGCAATGGAGAAGCCACCAATGACCTCCTCTCTCTTCTGTTCTTCCATCCAAAAGGCTGAGAACCTCTCTCAGCCACGCCTTACCACTTCCTGTCTCCTATCTGCCCTCAGTCCTCCAAAACCTCTATGGTTAATTTTGGTCAGCTAGTGGCTAGCTCCGCCCTCTGACTCAAAGCAAACTTGATTGTCAGAACACAATCAAACTATCACACAACACACATCAGGTGCGATGGGACAGGTGAGCAGAGACCTTGCTAGCCCTGGTAAGGAAATAGCCAAGCTGTTCCGCATTGGCTGTGGTGGTGCTATTTCTTCAAAGATACTGTTTTCCAAACTGCAACATGGGAAGCATATAAAAGCGACACCGAGCCAGGCAGTGGTGGCACATGCCTTTAATCTCAGCACTTGGAGGCAGAGTCAGGCGGATCTCTGTGAGTTCGAGCCCAGCCTGGTCTACAGAGCGAGATCCAGGACAGGCACCATAACTACAGAGAAACCCTGTCTTAAAAAAAAAAAAAAGAAAGAAAGAAAGAGGGCCGGGCGGTGGTGGCACACGCCTTTAATCCCAGCACTCGGGAGGCAGAGCCAGGCAGATCTCCGTGAGTTCGAGGCCAGCCTGGGCTACAGCTACACAGAGAAACCCTGTCTCAAAAAAAAAAAAAAAAAAAAAAAAAAGATTTACAAAAGTGACACCAAGTCCTAGGAGCCCTCCTAGGGCCTGTGAGAACCCCATGAAAATGATGGGGAACCTTTTCTGAAAGCAGCTCTGGGTAGACTGGGGCCCAGTGAGGCTCGAGGCCTCTGTGTGCTTGGCTGCCTTTCCTGACCATTAATCGCTACTAAGTGTCATTACCACTAATAAAATTAACGGACTTTATACTGGACTTCTGGAGCCATCAATCTCAGGGCCCATTACATGAAATTAGAGAGGCAGGTGCCTGCTGATGAGTGGGAGAGCGTTGGCCGAGCCACAGCCGCAGCCTGGAGAATTCTGTTACTCTACAGCCAGGCCCAGCACGTGCTAACAAAGGCCAACGACCTTAGGGAGACCGAGCAACTCCCAGCCACGACTCTACAGTGTAAGTGTGTCAGGCAAGAGCAGGGCGAGCCGTGGGAAGACTCTGGGACCTAGGCCGGAAGTATCCCCTGCATCCTCCCTTGCTCTCTCCTCTGCTAGTCCCAAAGCGTTTGGTTCTTTACAGTTCCTCTGTTTCTTTTCTGGGTCTCAGGTCCAGTCATGCAAGGAGAGAAAGGAAGAGAAATCAAGAACGTGCTCTCATTAGCCAAAGTCTAAATTCCCAGGGAAAAGACTGGCTGGTTTACATAGGGTCATCAATTCATCACTGATCCAATCGGTAGACCAGAGCAGCTGAGTTCCAGGCCAGCCTGGTCATGTGAAATACAGTTATGGACAGGGACCATATGGCAACCATGATAGAAAGAATGAGTGGCAGAAAACCCAATCACATGTTCGTGGTATTTTGAAGTCCTCAGTAATAGGTACTCAAAAACTGACATGTGTATATTATATGTACCACAACAATATAATGAATGCAATATTTTAATGCATGATATATTATAGCATATAATATATAATATAGTCATAATGGTAAAATAATATCTATTCTTTTAATTAGTTTTTTTTAGTATTGAGAGTCAAACCTAACTCATGCTAGGTAAGCACTCTACCACTGAGCTGAGCTGCATACCAGTCTTGCAACTTAGGATGTTAAGTTTAGGATGACTAATGTGGACCATGCTCAGATTAAAAATGTTTTTGCTCATGGTGGTGGTGGCACATGCCTTTAATCCCAGCACTTGGGAGACAGAGGTGAGTGGATCTCTGAGTTCAAGGCCAGCCTGGTCTACAGAGTGAGAGTGAGTTCTAGGACAGCTAGAGCTATACACAGAAAACCTGTCTTGGAGAAAAAAAAAAAAAAAAAAGACCCAGAGCTAAATTCAGGCAAGAACCCTATCAACTGGGCTACATCCCCAGACCTAACTAACTCTCTCTCTCTCTCTCTCTCTCTCTCTCTCTCTCTCTCTCTCTCTCTCTCTCTCTCTCTGTGTGTGTGTGTGTGTGTGTGTGTGTGTGTGTGTATGGGCAGATGTGTACTACAGTGTGTACATGGAGGTCAGAAGACAACCCTGGGCAGTGGTCTTAGCCCCCACTGTGTTTGAGCCAGGGTCTCTTGGTTATTTGCTGCTGTGTGTGCCATGCTAACTGGCTATAACAGTCTCCTGCTTTCACCTCCCACCTCACTGTAAGGAACACTGGGGTGACAGACGCGTGCTGCCATGCCTGCCTTCACATGGGTTCAAGAGACTTGAACTCAGGTCCTCATGCTTCCATGGCAAACACTTTTACTTACTGAATCACTTCCCCAGCCCTCTAGCATTTTTTTTTTAATGAATATGAATCAGGTTTTAAAGGATGTGTAGCCCCATTGGCCAAAATGCCCATCATTCCCATTTTTTTTCTCTAGTGTGTCAATCTGCATCTACAGGGGAAGTCCTAGTTTCTGAAACAGGAATTGTGTGAGCCAGTTATCTCTCACACCAGCCCTGGGTGTGAAGAAGAGAAATTTTCGGAGGCTACATGAGCTGTGTTCCCAGTAGCCCTGGAGCTGCCCTCCAACACTGGAAACCATTTAAGGTGGGGCCTCACCAGCAGGACCTGACCTCAGGCTCTGCTCCTTGCTTGCCCAGGGTCAAGCTCCAAGGGTTTCCTGCCAGGCTGCAGGGAGGGGTCTGGGTATAGGCCTGGTGGACTGGAAACTTACCCATTTGCCCCCTGATTAATGTTTAATGGGCCCCTGCCCTCACCGTGTCTGGGAGGGGAGCCGGGTCCAGGCTGGGCTTGAGGGCGCCGATAGCATCTGTCTGTGCTCAATGTTTCGGAGATATGCTCCACGCCGGGTTGGGCACACCTGATAGACTTGGAATCTACAGGGGCACCTGGGACCTCGCCAGGACCCCCACCTTCCAATGAGGCTTCCTATTTCTCAGGCAGACAGAGAGGCTATGGCATCTAGCCAAATGTCCTGACTGAGGCAGGCGACTCAAACCGTGCCCTCAACTCTGTGGGATAAGGGCCTCTCTGACCCCTCAGGGTTTGGCCCCGGGACTTAGTAGCACGTGAGCAAAGGTGGCAAGTGCCACATCCAGGTGGGTATGTTGACAGCCCCCATCTGGTCCCACCTTGGCTCTTTTACTCCAGCTGAGAGCCTGCCGTTTCAAGAAGGGAGCTGCTTTCTCTAGCTCGGGTCTGACAAGGATGTCTCTTCCATCCACATGGGGTACACCAGGGTGGGGGACAACAAACATCTATCACTGTCACAGGGAGGTTCAGGGAGAAGGAACGGTTCTAATTCTGGACCACATTGCCACTAACCTGCCATGCCTGCCATCTGAACCACTTGTCACCTCCACACAAAGCCGCCGATACCTGGCAGGGCAAAGGGAGACACTGGCGACTTAGAATATAAGGCATCTTGCAAGAGGAGAGAAGGAACTGCCAGCCAGCAGGAAGGCAAGACTGCCTGGCCAGCCTGTGCTTTCTCTGCAATCCCCACAGCACCTCTGGGAGGCGAGGGTGTTAGTGTTCGTGATGCCAAGGAGGGAGCCAAGGCTTCAAGGTTGTGGTTAGGACTTGGCAGGGTTATGGTTAGAATTTGGCAGCCTTATTATAGGATCGATGGCTTTGGATATAGATCATGAAGTCTGGGATTTGAGACTCCCTCCCTCCCTCTCTCCCTCCCTCCCTCCCTCCCTCCCTCCCTCCCTCCCTCCCTCTCTCCCTCCCTCCCTCCCTCCCTCCCTCCCTCCCCCTGTCTCTTTCCATCCCTCTGTTCCTCCTCCTCCTCCTTCTTCCTTTTTCCCAAGCTTCTATTTGTACCAGGCACCAAATAGCCAGATGGTTGATGATCTACCTGGGATCCGGGAAACAAGCTAGACTGCCATGGGCTTACTTGGGCAGCAATAGAACACAAGGGAGACAGGGATCCAGGGACCTTGGCTGGCTGTTTAGTCTGCACCTCCTGTGCTTAACCCTGGTAGCAAGGTGGCACTCCCCTCCAGGAAGTGACCGATGCTACATATAACATCTCCCACACTTACCTGAGCACAACAACTGCTCAGGGGATGTGGCAAAAGTACAGATTGCCAGGCCCTGCTCCGGAGCTATAGAAACTCAATGCAGGCCTTGGAAATGTGTGTTTGTCTGAAACAGATCTTGCTGTGTAGCCCAGGCTGGCCCTGAAACTCACAACATTCTCTTGCCTTAGACCCCACCAAGTGCAAAGATCGCAGGCATGTGCCAGCACACTCATTCTGGCTCTGTATTTCTAAGCACTCAGGATGACTTTCCCAATTGGGCAAGTTGGCAAACTAAGATAGATAAGAACAGACTAGAATCCAGAGAACTTGGGTTTGGGGTTCTACACCAATCCTTGCTACCTTGGTACCTTGGTCTTCTCCTCTGTAAGATGGGGGCATAACCCCTATGAGACTGGCCTGCCGTCCATGGGGGTAAAAATGTGAAGACAACCTCTTGCCGTCCCTGTGGGATGAGCTTTGGCCCTCCACAGGCAGGAACCCCAATCTTACCATCTCCCTTCTCACGCTCTCCAGCCTGACAGGGCGTGATGTCCTGACACCCTTCCCGGGCCTGGGCACAGCGGCAGCCCCGGCCCAGGCTGGTGCCCACCTGAAGCAGTGTGACCTGCTGAAGCTGTCCCGGAGGCAGAAGCAGCTCTGCAGGAGGGAGCCTGGCCTGGCTGAGACCCTGAGGGACGCGGCACACCTGGGGCTGCTGGAATGCCAGTTCCAGTTCAGGCAGGAGCGCTGGAACTGCAGCCTGGAGGGGAGGACCGGCCTGCTCCAGAGAGGTGGGGAGGATGGCAGGGAGGATGTTGAGGGAGGAGGAAGACAAGGAAAGCCAGCATGAAGGGAGGGAGGGAGGGAGGGAGAGAGGGAGGGAGGGAGGGAGGAAGAGGACTGGCGGGAGGTTGTGGGTGGTGAGGAGGTTATGCCCAGGCCTCATTGTGCTGACTACCTGAGCACAGTCCCAAGTGAGAAGAGACCTGGGGTGTTAGTAAGGTCTGTTGAAGGCTCGTGGTTTGGGGAGACAGAGGACCAAAGATAACACAAGAGAGAAAAGGACAAAGCATTCCTGGAAGAGATTCACAGAGGAGGTGGGTGGCCCCAACCACCTACTAAGTGATCCAAATGTGCAAGTCAGGCGGATTCCTTTGTCCACGCATTCATCTGTCACCATTCATCACATCTGTTGATGCGTCATTCTCTCCTTCCCTTCCCACCTGACTCCTCCTTCTTCCTCATCCTTCTCCTGTCCCATCCATCTGCTGAGCATCCGCAGAGGCTCACAGTGAGCAAGGCACTATGCAAGGGGCCAGAGGCACAGGCTGAATGTGACCCATTTGCCCTTGGAAAGTGCACCTTCTAGAAAGAGGAAATGGGCCATAGCATGACTTCATTGCCATGTGGAAGGGACATAGGCACTTTTATGGTTGTTGTTATTCCTTTTGGGAGACTAGGTCTCTGTAGCCCAGGCTGGCCTGGAACTCCCTGTGTGAATTGTTTCGAATGCTCAGCAGTCGTCCTGTCTCAATCTCCCAAGTTCTGGAATTGTAGGTGTGAGTCACTCACCTCGCTTAGATCTCCAGTGGGGAATTTTTATAGAAGTGGCCAGCCCCTCTCTAGGCCAGCTGCTCTCTATCGCAGGGAGAGTCGGGGACAGAGCTAGTGGCCTGCTTCTCTTTCTTCTCAGCTGTCACCAGTGCCCCAGATACCCTGAGAGCAGAGCACTCGGGAGGCCTGGTTGGGTCACCTTCCAGTAGTGCGAGCACAGAGGTTGTCCCAGTGTGGGGATGATGTCAGGCAGGACCCCCAAGACCATTCTGTCTTTGGGTCACCTACAGATGGTGGCAGAGGACATTTGAGAAACATGAGACAGCTTAGAACTCCATAGAAACAGGTTGTCCAACTTGTTGCATAAGCTCTTGAAGTTGGGATGACTGTTTAGCTTTAGCTCAGTCCTGCCCATGTGCCCAGGCCACTTTTTGCATAAGTTACTGAGATTAGCAGCCCTGTCCTGCTGCCCTCTGAGAACTGGGCACATGCTTCAGGGTAAATCTGGAGGCCGTTTAAGGGGCAGCTTTCAGGCTGAGTCGGAGGGACAGGCAATGGGAAGGCCTTACACAGCTCACTCTCCCCCACCCTACCCACTATCCACCCCACATGCCTCCTACCTTCAAAGGGCTGCAGATGGCTTCTGAGCTCCCTCTCCTCCCGCACAGGCTTCAAGGAGACAGCCTTCCTGTATGCGGTGTCTGCAGCTGCCCTCACGCATGCGCTGGCCCGGGCCTGCAGTGCTGGGCGCATGGAGCGCTGCACCTGTGATGACTCTCCAGGCCTGGAGAGCCGGCAGGCCTGGCAGTGGGGCGTGTGTGGTGACAACCTCAAGTACAGCACCAAGTTCCTAAGCAACTTCCTGGGGCCCAAGAGAGGAAGCAAGGACCTGCGAGCCCGAGCCGACGCCCACAACACCCATGTGGGCATCAAGGTGAGTGATACCCTCCCTACTGACCAAAGTGCCACGCCAGGCAGGGTGCAGAGGCAGAGAGCAAGATCCATGGCAGGCAGTGAACTGCCCTCAACACACGGATGTCCCAGGGTGAACTTCCGATCCCCTTCAGTGAACCTTCTCTGCACATTACTGGGCACTGGGGCACAGACTCCCAGACATCAATACAGTGGAGCCAGGCTTGGCTTCATGCCTTGATAAAGCAGGAAAGGAGTGTTTGGAAAGAAGTCTCCATTCCAACAACAAAGCCAGCATCATTTGATGACTTCAATATGACAACCACTGGGCCGCCTCCATTTTGTAAGTAGAAGAGAGAGGAGGCCCGGAGAGGGGAGGGACTTAGCTGAGGTCACACGGCCATGACAGAACTGAGAGTAATAAGCCTCTAGGTCTACTGGGGTGAGGAGGCAGGGAGGGACCAGAGCTTCAGTTCTATCAGGAAACTGAGCTGCCGTGTGCAGTTGTGCACAAGAGCTCTGGGCTGAGATCTGACCCATACTGCCTTCGCCCAGGAGCGCACTGCCTGGAGGAAGGAAAACTTCTTCCTAGTATGCACGAAGGTACCTTGAGGGTCTCAGGTCATTGTGACTCTGGTCCTGTTTGTCACCTTCACATGAGCCTTCCTGCCTCCTCGTTCTGTTGACACTCCTTGGCAGAACCGGAATGTGGGACAGACTCAGACCACTGACAGACCTCCGCTCTGCCCTTCTCCGCAGGCTGTGAAGAGTGGTCTGAGAACAACCTGTAAGTGCCACGGTGTGTCGGGCTCCTGTGCCGTGCGTACCTGTTGGAAACAGCTGTCCCCGTTTCGTGAGACCGGCCAGGTGCTGAAGCTACGCTACGACACCGCCGTCAAGGTATCCAGTGCCACCAATGAGGCTTTGGGCCGTCTGGAGCTATGGGCGCCTGCTAAGCCAGGTGGGCCCGCTAAGGGCCTGGCACCTCGCCCCGGGGATCTGGTCTACATGGAAGACTCTCCCAGCTTCTGCCGGCCCAGCAAGTACTCCCCAGGCACGGCGGGCAGGGTGTGTTCTCGGGACGCAAGCTGCAGCAGCCTCTGCTGCGGGCGAGGCTACGACACCCAGAGCCGCATGGTGGCTTTCTCCTGCCACTGCCAGGTGCAGTGGTGCTGCTATGTGGAGTGCCAGCAGTGCGCGCAGCAGGAGCTTGTGTACACCTGCAAGCGCTAGGCCTCCACCAGCTGAGACGGTGGTACTGCCGGGGCTCCCACCGTGCACGACTCCGGCAAGCACTTACCTGCCGATGTACACGCCACGCAGCACGAGGGGGTGCCACTCGCCTTCTGCCTTCTTCCCCATTCAGCAGAGAGAAACAAAGCCCTGCCTCTGAGTCCCAGGATCACCAATCTGGTTGAGGACTTGGAGCAGCAAACAGACTGAGGAGAAGAGAGGGAAATATATGAGGATCAGGGTAGGGCAGGAACGATGCTATACCGGAAGAGAGAAAGAAACACCTTCCTGTCTCAAGGCCAACAAAAGCTGGGAGAATATGGAAGAGGAAGTTCCGCAGAACCAGCTAGAGTGCGTGCATGCGTGCTTGTGTGCGTGTAGCATCCAACTGAGCATGGCCAATTTGTGTGGCCCCACTCTGATGGCAGAGAGCTCTGGGTACCACATGCCTGTCCTGCTTTTGGTGGCGGGGGGGGCCGCTTTGCGCACTGGAGACTGTTCAGAATGTTTATTGGGAGCAAGGAGAGCTTTTTAGGTGTGGGTGGATCAGGTCACAGAGCCCATGCCCTGAAGTCTTTGCTAAGCCTGCCTCCTCAGTGGTCCCGTTCCTTTACTAATGCCCCCTTCACTTGGGCTCCTACCAGAGGAACAGAATGACTACTGATGGATCAAGTGGCCATTTTTAATGTCCCCCACCGAGGCCCCCTGTGAAGGAAGAGAAACCAGTGCACAGGTACAGGCCTATACTGATGCACACACACACACAGCCTGGCCAGGCACAGGCTCCCCATGAAGCCGCGCACGTCTCTCCAGCCCAGGACAAAGACCTCACTGGGGTCACTCTGCTGGAGGCTGTATGCTTCCCCAGAGCAGAGCCCAAGGCCAGCCAGGAGGAAGTGACCTCTTTTGGGAAGCCTGCGGCCACTTGGCTGGCTGTACTGAGTCCTCCTATAAGCTTCCTTCTGTTCTGAACCCTGTCGGGGTTACTATCCCTCTACGGGAACAGGAAGCTTCGGAATCAGTGGGTGCTCAGCAGACATCACCCACACCAGCTCCAGGAAGGAGGCTATATGGCCCAGAGGGGCCACCCTATCTTCGGTGGCTCAGGCCAGCGTGAGGATGCTGGAAGGATCTTTGATGGCAGAAGCTCCAAGAAGGACCTGAGACCCTTCCCTGGAATGACTTTGCTGACTAACGAAAGAAGCCCGCCCACAGCTTGGCAGGAGGGGAAACACAGACTGAAGGCTGGTTTTCCACTTCCCTACTGAAGGTTGACTTGTTCCTTGATAACCTGAGGCATCCTTCTCCCCTGTGAGCCCTACTCCTGCTCTCCCTGGAGGCTACACAGGCAAGAAGGGATTCCCAAAACAACTTGGGGACCAGAACCCTCTGACCTACCACCATACCACCTGGTCAGGAGGGCTGGGGGTGCAGAAGGGTCAAAGTCGGACTTGAAGCCTAGGCTGTGGCTGGCCATTAACCCTGGTGCCCCAGGGCACCCTCAGTCTGGCCCTCTCCCTCCCTTCTCTTTCTCCAAGGTCTGTCTTTTCCTATTCCCCCTAAAATCCCACCGCAGTCCTGCTGGGGCCCCTCAGACTGGAACTTTAAGGGAGATGTTCACAGGGTATTTCTGCCTACCTCATACATATAGTTGTTAGGAAATAATTTATATAGCTAAGATATATGGGAAAGTATTTATGTTATTTATATAGCTTCTCTGTTTCTTGGGCACCATTATGTGGGGTTCACGTGTTTACCCAGAAGCCTCTGGGGAAACACAGCTGGGTCTGCCAGGGGCACTCGAGGAGCTGGATACCAGGTAGCTGAGGGTGGTCACAGCTCCTTGTGTCTCATGGAAGTCTGTTCTGGAGCTCTGGAGCACACGTCCCTCCTGAGGTGACCCCTTGAGACTGAGCAGAATCTTTCTTGTGAAGTCTGCAGATTTTCTGTCTCTGGGCCCCAGGGGCATTTCTGCTCTGTCCGAAGGGTTTTTCTCCTAAAGGACAAAAAGGATGGGCACTTTCCATTTTTAGAAACACTTTTCTCTTTACTTTCCCTTGATTTCCTCATTTTCCCTGTGTGGTTAGGTTAGGTGAGGCCAAACTACTGTACCCATTTTCCAGTTTTGACCCAGAGACGGAGGCCTGTGCTCAAAGTCACACAGAAGAGAAGAGTGAGGGAATATTGACTTGAACATGTCCCAGGAACTGGGGCAGTGGACCTACTCTAAACCTGAGAGCCAAAGCCATCAGTCTCCCTCCGAACCTAGAAACTAAGGGAGGTCCTTGCTGTGTGTGACCCTGGCCTCCCCTTGGATGACATGCTAGTTTCTCCAGCAAGCAGAGTCTCATGTCTCAGGACTGGGACTTCCTGAGAAGCCCGGAGAGGCAAAGACTCCATGGAGGTCACTCTTGGGAGTCCTGCAGCCCACCTCACCCAAGATGACCAGGCTACAGCACCCAGCCCGTGGGTGAGTTTTGTTTGCTTTCTTTTGTTTTTAAAAATGAATTGTTTCCCACTGGATTTCTAATTTTTTTTCTTTGAAAATCAGTTGCACTGGCAAATGGGACTTATATCCTGACCTGGCTGCACTGGGAGCCACACCAGACAGAAGGCATGGGGCTCCCCAACTGGCCCAGTGTCCCCTGCCCTTTCTCAAGTCATATATGCTCCCATCTGGCTTTTGTGGGCATGCAGAGCATGGCCCCTGGCCTAGACAAAGTCAGCTGTTCCTGCACCCTAGTTGTCTAACAGGCGGATGACCGCAGACTATGCCAGCCCTGAAGATCATGTCTTGCCCTCCAGTGTCCTCTCTCAATGACCATGAACTTCCAATGCTTCCTGTCTGAGCACATAGGAGAAGCGCTACAGAAGCCCTTCTTTGTCAAGTGCTGCCACACATCCATCTCACCTCCAGCGATTATTTAGGGAGCTCCTAATGAATGCCAGGGAGACACTCTGGCTGGTAGGATGCCGCAGTGCTTCAGAGCAAATCCCAGCCTCATGGGGCTGACGTGCTGGAGAGCAGAAAGCTGGCAAGCCAATAAACTATGCGCTAGTTATTTGTGCTTCTTTTTCATTGATGCGTGTGTGTGTGTGTGTGTGTGTGTGTGTGTGTGTGTGTGTTCATGAGTGTGTACAAGTGTATGTGGGTGTGGGTCTGCACACATGTGGAAAGTCTAGATGTCCTCCCCTTTTGTTCTGTTTTGTCTAAGTTTTTCCCTTCCCTGGGGTTCACCAAGTAGTCCAGGCTTGCTGCCCCGCCCCCCAGTGCTGGAATTACCAGTGTGCATCACCACCAAGCCTGGCTATTTTGTGTGGGTTCTGGGAATTGAACTCAGGTCCTAGATTTGCAAGACAAACACTCTACTGACTGAGCTATCTCCCCAGGCCTATTTGTAATCTTTTCGTCTTGGTTTGTTGCAACATCTTACCCAGTAGACGCTGCCACCTGCCCTGCCTAAAGAATAAAGGTTGAAAGATAGGAATGCTTCTCATGGCCACCAGCAGGCAGTAGTGCCAGGCTCAACACAGATCTGCCAGCCTCCAAAACAGGGGTTCTTTCCTCCTGACATTTCCGCGTCTCCTCTAGGTAGGGCAGGAACGCATCCCTTGTTATGAATTCTGGGTAAACTGAGGCCTAGAGTAAGGTCATCATCCAATCCAGGTTGCCCATCAAATCAGACGAGGCTGAACATACTCGCAGAGGCCCCACTCTGTGGCCTGCCACATGGGAAGGATGTGAATAGTGTGAAGCAAAGCGGGAGCCTTCAGGGACTTGTGACCTGGAAGGACAAACAAGAAGTACAGCCACGCGATGGTTCGGGCCCTTTCTACATCAGCTCCGTGCTCTCTGCTTCCGGTGTACCGCTTCCCCGGCACAGGCTGGACCGCCACCACTTCCTGGGGATCCGGTGCAAGGGTGGTGGAAGCAGCGAGTCAGGGCAAGGGGAGCAAACAGTTCTTTTCTCCCAGCTCAGACCTGCCCTGTCCCAGCTCTTCAGGCCTGCTGAAGGCTACATTGTCTCACCTGGGGTCCTCAGGGAGGGAGACAGCCCCGAGGGTACCCATGTTTTCCCCTGTATCCCGCCCGTTCTAACATGTCGGAGGCCCTGTGCTCTTGGGCATGGATTCCAGCTGGTTCTGAGCAAGTGACAGATGGCTCCACACACAGCAGCAGGCTTCAGTTTGTGCAAGGCTTTGTCACTTTCTCACTTGAGCCCCACCTGGGGCCTGGCCTCTTCCCTTTTCACAGCCAGGGGAAGTGAGGCTGGAATGGTTACATGGTGCACAGAGGTCTGTCCCTTCTGCCAAGAGGCAGACTCGGGGCTCTTTGTCGCCTGTGTCCTTCCTGCCCCCACGTTGCGGAGTTGGGGTGCATGATGTGAAATTCCTAAAGAGTCAATAAGGAAATCATGTTAAATATAAAACAAAACAAAACACTTAGTCTTGGCAGGGGAGATGGCTCGGTGAGTAAGAGCATTTGCTGTGCAGACTTGAGGACCTGAGCTCTAACCCCCAGTCCCCACTTACGAGTTAGACATGGCTGCATGTGTCTGAAACCCTAGTATTGGGGCGGGGGGGGGGGGGGGCGGGGGGAGATAGGCAGATCCTGGGTTTCACTGTCCAACTAGCCTAGCTGAACGGTGATTGTGGTTCGGCAAGAGACCCTATCTTGAAACAACAGGCAGAAGAGAGTGATAGAGGAAGACGGCTGATATCCCCCTCTGGTCTCCACACTCACATGTGTCCACACACCTGTACATACAGACACACACCAAAACAAATAAATATCCAGACAAACATCCCCCCCACATGCACGTGTGTGTGTGTGTGTGTGTGTGTGTGTGTGTGTGTGTGTGTGTGTGTGTGTTTGCATATTCATTCACTTATTTGTAAATTCACAGTCGTTAGGACACTCCAGTAGTTACAGCTCCCCGAAGACCAACAGAAGCCCAAGCCATCATCACATCTGATAGCTGTGATGCTATCTAGGATACCCATCTATGCTCACACTTTTTTCGAGTGTCCTTTTTGACACCTCAAACGTCCTTTATAACACTTTTCCTGTTCTTGGGTACGCTCACGACTCAGTGTGGTGCTTCTGCAGTCTGTACTCTAGAACACACTCCCTGCCTGCTTGTTCCCAGTGATGCTCGTATCAACCCTCAAGCTGCATGTCTCCATCTTCCAACAGGGGTTTGTGATTGTCTCCTAAACCATGATTCAGGCTAACTTTTTCCACGAAGCTGTGTGGGTGGTGTATGCTCTTCCCTGTCCGTTTTGTCAGCGGCTACAAGCGGATGCTCCGTTCCATGGCTGGCGATGCTCACTCTCAGCTCTTCTTGACTGTGTGGCGTCTGCCAGAGCTCCCCAGTGAGAAGCCACTATTTTCCCTTTGAAGTTCACAACTCCTTTGTGGAGTGGCAGCTCAAGATGGTGGGACTATTTTGGTTGCCTGGAAACATTTTTTTTTCAACTATTACATTATTGTAGATAGAGAGATAGCTCAGTGGTTAAGAGCACTTGCTTTCATGGAGGACCCGGGTTTGGTTCCCAGCACCCACATAGTGCAATTCACAATAGCCTACAACTCCAGCTCCAGGGGATCCCACACATCTCTGGCCTCTGAGAGTACTTGCATGCATATGGTGCACATACAGACAAGCAAGCACACATGCATACACATAAATAAAAATAAATCATTAAGATTACACTTCTTCGTTGGTGTGTATGTGTAAGCCAGAGGACCACTTGCAGGAGTTGGTTCTCTCCTTCCACCATGTGGATCTTAGGAATCAAACTTAAGTCATCAGTCTTGACAACAAGTGTGTTTACCAACGGAGCCATCTTGGTGGCCCCCAATGATTTTTTTTTACATAATATGCACAAGTGTGCACATGTATATGCATTTGGAGACCAGAGGACAACCTCAAATGTTGTCATTCCTTAAGAGTTGTTTTTTTTTTAGACTGTGTCTCACCAAGTAAGCCAGGCTGGCTAGTCACCAAGTCACCAGAGATCTTCCAGCACTGGAATGGCAAGCACAGGTCATTGTCCCTGGCATTTCAAATGTGGGTTCTGGGTATTGAACTCAGGCCTTCATGCTCGCACAACCTCCTCCCCAGCCCTTAGTTGATGGTTTGTAAAGAAGGGCTTTTCATTCTCTCCTTCCCATGTGACAGTCTGCTTCATCTTCACAGTCACCCCCATGGGGTAAGAACCATCACTCCCATTTTACAGATTTAAAAAACTGAGGTCCAGGGAGCCTGAAGTATTTCTTGATTGAGTTGTCAGGGCCAAGATTCAGGGCTTCCTGTGCCTGGAGTTGGGCCCATTCCCTCAGGAATCTCCTCAGATTCTCAGATGACTGGACAGGACAAGGAGAATTCCCAGTGGGATTCCCATAACAGGTGCAGAAGATGGGAAACAGTTGGGATGCTGCGGCAAGAACGTCGCTCCTTGAACCTACGAGCCAAGCTTGCTCTCAATCAGCCCACCCCCCACGTCAGTGCCCATCCCCACTGTCCCCAAGGACCCTGCCCTTGTCAGCCCTTGCTATGGCTTGCAATTTGTGGAGCGCCACCATGGTGACCTTAAATCCTGAAGATGCACAGAACAGTCTCACATGCTCCATTTCCAGCTGGGGGAAATATTGATAGTTACTCTAGGGTGTATGCAGTCAATAGACAGGACATGCCTGTTAGAGACTGAATTTAGAAAGGTTTCATGCCTTTGCAGGGTCCCACAATGAAGAGCAGAGACTTATCATCAATGCAGAGATGGCCGAGCCAAGGCCCGGAGCACAGAAAGGGCACTGGGGAGCTGCAAGCACTCCGCATGGTTGATAGCACCTCTCTCCACCCCTGCAGGGCTCCTCTCCTCCTCTCTGCTCTGCATACCTGCAGAGCCCGGACTGGTTGCCTCCTAAGTGTCTTATTCTCCCCACCCCACTGCCATCCTTCCTAAGTGCCCAAGGGCTCTGGGGCCCATGTTTCTCCCTGACTTTCTCAGACCCATTAGTGTGTTTATGCTGGAGCTGGCACAAGGGAACCAAGCCAGACCCCCCTATGCACACTGGCCTTCACCCCCAAAGAGTGGCTAGTTGAGAGATAAGAGCTAGTCAGATGCATGGCGGACTCGGCGCAGCGTCCGGATTCCTGCCTCACTGTCTGAACAAGTCCAGAGCAGCCAAGGCCCGGGGAGAGTGAACGGTAGCCCCGGGTCTCAGCACCCTTCCTCAGCAGCCCCTCCCATGGCTGACAGCCTCTAATCCCAGCTGTCTTCATACAGCCATGCAGCCAGCCCTCTGAGCCTGAGGTCACCTGATGCCGACACATTTTAATTCACAAACTGATTTCTGCTTGTTGGCAACATGTCATTTCTGAAATTGCTTTCTCTGCCCAGAGGCGGGACTGTCAGAGCCAGGCAGGTGTGGCAGTGGTGCCGCCCCCACCCCACCCCACCCCCACCCCAAGTTCAGGAAGGATTAAGTGGGGGGCATACATAAGATCCTCAAGCTCAGCTTCTCATGTTTCTCCGAGGGCCAGGGCGGGCCAGGGATGGGGGATGCTGTGGGGAACAGCCTCGGCTCTTCTCTCCAGCTGGAAGACAAGGGGCCTGCAGTTCTGCACGTGAAAGCTGCCGCTGTGGCTACAGCTGCTGACAGCAGCAACAGGAAGTGACTGAGCATGCTCTGCACAGACGCCAAGCACCTTGCAAGGTGCCTCGCTAGTCCGTTATTGTGTTTGTATGGTGTGATAACCCTCCAAGTTGATATCATTCCTACCTCAAGGCTGAGGAAACTGGGCTCCGATCATTTGCCTGAGGTCACATAGCATGATTGTGACAAGGTGGCCGGGCAGTGGTGGTGCACGCCTTTGCTCCCAGCACTTGGGAGGCAGAGGCAGGTGGATCTCTGTGAGTTCAAGGCCAGCCTGGTCTACAGAGTGAGTTCCAGGACAGCCAGGGCTGTTACATAGAGAAACGCTGTCTCAAAAAACAGAAAGAAAGAAAGAAAGAAAGAAAGAAAGAAAGAAAGAAAGAAAGAAAGAAAGAAAGA